CTTGTATTTCACCCAATTGGTGGCACATAATCTACTTGGTGCAACTACCACCTCTGTCCGCCACCTTCAGTGGTCACAAACGTTTCCGTGTCACCACAACACACAAGGATAATTTTATCCAAATAGTGACACATATCATTCTCCATCATCCCCCGTGACTCCAGCTATTTTCGTGCCACATCACTATACTACAGTTGGTAATAAAATTGATCCTAAATTACTTAATTCACTCTTCTCTCTTAAATCGTACAATCGTAGCAATTAGGTACCGAAAAATATCCTATTATCGATAACTACGATCACCTTTCCCATGAGAATACTTGATGTTTGTAAATTTCACCTTATAGATATTCTTCAAGAACTATTAAAAGTTACAATCGTCATCAATAAAATCTATAACCACAATTTTTATAAATTCCTTTTTGATCTAGTAGTGATTTTCAAACCATTTTCCATGGTATAATGTAATGTTAGTAGCTCCTGACAAAATGCTAAATTTCCTTCATTTTAAAAGATGACAAAAATTAGAGAACCACAAATTATGTTGGGAATAAATGAACATCCAGTAATTCAACTATACATTTTAAAAGAGTACATACCTTAAATGAAGTTCAATCAATAGCCAATGATCGTGAGAAAAATCAATGTTGAACTATAATTTCTGTTTTGTTTTTTAATCATCACTTTCAAAAAACACCAACCATTGAACCTCTTATATTTAGTAGAAATAACTATGTTTTAGGTTGAAGACATTGGTTATTAACTTTGTCACTGGATTCTATCGAACCATTTTATTCATCACCATATAGATCTTTGTTTTGATCATAAAGCATCTCGTGTACATTAGAATAAGGTAAAGCGATAAGACATTCATTCTTATTTTCGTTGATGTTAGATATTCCTATGGGTTAATAAAATTTATTCATTATTACTGTAAATAAACAAATTTAGAAATAGGACCATTAACATTATCAATATAATGTACCTTACAAGTATTAATTGTTGAAGGTTTTTTTGGATAAATCATTCTTCTTCTGTTTCTAAGAATGATGATGATGATTTTTTGAAGAGGATAATCTATACAGAAATAAAAATTCTAACTGTGAAGATCGATAGGTAAATAAGAATAGGAAAGGATTTTTCTTTTAATTACCCAATATATTCTTAAAAAGTGTTTTCTTATTTCAAGTCAGCCATCTAAAATTTCACCCTCATCTAATTTAGGATACTCTGATAAATCATCTACTTTTTTTCTTATGGATATTTGTATTATGTCTTGAGATGAAATATTTTGATTTTGATTAAAGATTACACTCCCCATTTCTTCATTCTTTATCGATTATGATAGTTGTTGAAATAATAATACTCGAATTTCTTTTATAATTTTGGCAACATATGTTCTTTTGATTTTTAACAATTTTTGAATTTATAATATGGTCCATTAGCAACTTTTTGAATCTTTACTATTCCAGGATTAGAAGGTATAAAAAGAAAATGTTGAAAACTTTTAAATACCATTTAACTTCTTAAAATAGAGCCCCTAAACTAGATTTAATATCAAAATATCGAATGCCTTTTCCATATCATAATATTGTATTTGAATTAATCCTGCAATGCTAAATCATCAATACAATCTACACATGTTTTTCGATTATAATTTTTTGATCAGTCTAAGTTACCATCACATTTGAATTTTGTATGTTCAGGAACCCATAAAATTTAATTCTCATAATAATCACCAATTATTAAATATAAGTAAAATTAAATATTACTAAATGTATGTAAAATCAAATAGTGGCTTTATTTTTTTTATTACACTCATCAGCAATGTTGCAAATGTTTTCTCCTTTATTCTTTTTCATCGAAAATAATACAAAGTGTCCCATTTCTATAATTTCGTTCCCATTAAAAACATAGTTAATTTGTTTGTGCATACTGCCTCATCTTGAATAACAATTAAATGTACCTAATATAATTAATCTCAATCGTAATTATAGTGCATTAATGCTAACCTTCTATTATGAGATAATTTGATCTAACAAATCTTTTTTTCTGCCAACTTTGTATTTTATTGTAATAATTTCTTCTCAACTTTGCTGGTTTAGACAAATATAATTTTTTAACCTATGAACATTGTAATGTGAACCATTCCAAAAATATTAAAATCTTTTCTTGGACTTGATATAAAAAAGTCATGATAAACGAGATTTCTAACTAATTTCTGCTGGTAAGAATGTAAGCGATTGAGTTACTCAATTAATGTTCCTTCCTGGACTTGATACTTCATGAACTTTAACATAATTCTCCAGAATATTTTTTAGTAATGTTTTTTGTCAATTGCCAGTTCGTTTTACTGATATAAAGCCATTGTTGATTAAATGAGACCCTGTTACATCATTGGAAGTTCCCATATTATCACGTGTTTCAGATCGATATTTTTTTTGAGAAAACTTAAACTAGACCCAGGGTTTAGGTCATTTATTCTAGACCCCCGGGGTTTAGGTCATTTTGTCTAGACCCTTTCTTAATTTATAAATA